TTCCTCACCCGAAGGTTACATGGTAGTTAACAAGATCCTCATAGATTTATCTTAAAAATGACTTGAGTTTTTTTTTTAATTTATTTTACAAAGACGAAAGATGATCTTTTCGAAGACTTCAAAATCCTTGAATAATGATTATATCATACTTGGATTTGTGGGTATAAACATTTAGTTTGTGAAAGTAATTACTTAGGGACAATCAACCTTTTTGTATGAGATTTAAATATAAACTTTCGTACCTACTCAACACTCACTTAGGAAATTATTATATGTTTGGCTTCACTAGGATGAAGACATAAATTTCCTCTATATTCCTAGGGCTTCAAATAAAATGGTAGATGACTTGGTTAAGATTAGAGCTTAGAATAATATATATATATATATATAGAGAGAGAGAGATAGGATCTTTTTATATCGATGTAAGTCTAAAAACTCTTACACCTAATTTGAGCCTTTTATTTAACTTAAATTTTAAGAATTATAATTTATTACTTTACTAGCCGTTAAATTTAAGTTAAATGAAAGGTTCAGATTAGGTATAAGAGTTTTTAAACTTACAGTTGGTGTAAGAAAATTATTCTCCATATATATATATATATAATCAAGACTTTTAAAATAAAAGACCTAATGGACTAATATTTTAGTTTAGTCCAATACAAACCTAATTAAAACAATTAAAATAACCTTAAACAAACTTGAACTACATGGCTAGCAAAGCTCTAATACATAAAGAATAAAACAAAAGTAATTAAATAAGTACAAATTTTAAATAAAATGGTCCTTAACATTACTTTGAACTTGAATTAAATGGATCAACTTGCATTCCATTCTTTTGGCAGTTGACTCAATAAAACTTTTCAAAGTCCTTATCATTTGACTTATCAAATCCTTTTAAAGCATTATTCTCTTATCTTTTTTCTTTTTATTTACAATTAATTCCTTCTTAATTTTTAATAATTGTTTGCCTTATAATCATATAATCTTTCCTTCTCTTCATCCTATTCTTTTGTTTCTTTAAAGTGAAAAAAAAAGTACATGCGTTATTCTAATTCTCTACTTTATCTTTTATGATAATTAACTTTAAGTTTTTGAAGGAAAAAGGTTGATATTTTTAAGTTATAAAATATATAAAATTATTATTATTATTTTTATGTGTTAATAGACTAATAACCATTATATTATACTTTACTTTTATTAGATTTGGCCAAATAAATAAAATATAAATTATTTTAAATATATCAACAAATAATTTATTAAAATAGATATTAAAAAATCAAATTAAAACCTAAATTAAATAAATTTGTTAGTGGAATCAATGTAAACTTTTCAAGTCATGTGTTTTCATACTTTGAATTTGTTATGTGAATTGTTGTAATACAGAAAATTAGTAATATTTAAACAGAGAGATATGTAAAGTAAAAAAGTTATTTATTCATCTTTAATTTGAATTTAAATATTTTATAAATATAACTAATTTAAAATTAAAGGTGAATAGATTCTCAGTTTCTTTCTTTATACATTTTAAGAGAGCTAAATCTGTGTTGCCATGATCTAATAAAAGTGTGGAGTTGAAATCCCATGACAGATTAGTAAAGTATTTGAAATGTTTGTTAAAATGTAATTTTCTTATGGTAACGTTTTCTAAAAAAAAATTGTTGGCTTTTTATTTTATACTATGATTTAAGTATTCAGTAATATTTTTTAAGATCTACGATATTTTTTATTTTTGTTGTTGTTGTTATTATTATTATTATTATTATTATTATTATAAATCATATATTTTTATTTGAGTTTAATTTTAGAGTAATATTAGTGTGAAGACTTTTATATTGTTAATTGATTAAAATATATTATATATATGATTTTTATGTTAATTATTATAGAAATCAACAAATCTTACTGATATGATGATTAGATGATAATGTAAAAAAATATATTATTAAAAAATTTAAATTATTTTTTATTTTTAATTATACTATATTATTTGACAATTTATTATTTTAATTTTAAGCTCTAAATCTTAAACCTTAAATTAATATAAGTAAAATTAATGCTTTGATGTTGAACATAAAAAAATATTAATAAATATATAAAGTCGTAGATAATACAGATAAGAAACTACGAAAGAAACTAATTAACATATATTACAAAATTTATAAAAATATAAGAAAGAAATATTATAAAATCATAACTCATGAAATTATCAAGCATATGGATTAGGTAGAGGCATATTCAAACTTAATTTATTATCTTAAATTCAAATTTTACTGTATACAGTTGTGTTAAATACTTAGAAAGAAATTTTCACTGCTTGCAGTAATTCTAACCAGCTCAAAATTTCTAGTGAAATAAAATTTTAGTCATATAAAAATAAGTATTAAAAAATAAAATGTCAAAATAAATATAATTTTTGAAATAAATAATAATAATAATAATTAATTAAAAATATAGTTAAATTAAATATTTATATTTTAATAATAAAATAAAATTATTGTATAAAAATTTACTGTTGCTCTTTAACAGTAATATATTTATTCATTCAATTTAAATTAAAATAAATTTTATATCAAATTTTTATCTTTAAATTTTAAAAAATAATATGCCTTATATGTCAACATTCTTTCAATTATGCAATTATATTAATATGAAAAAATGTTTTTTTTTTCAAATTATAAAGAAACACCTAAGAAAAGCACATTTATCATAAAAGCATATTCCAAATTAAAAAAAATAAAAAAAACAGACAAAAGTTAAAAAAAATAAATTAACAGAAGAAACTTAAAATATTACATGTAAAAAAAACTTAAAATACATAAAAATTTAAATTGAATTTTAAAAATAAATATTATAATTTAATCTACTAAATTCCAATATTTGATCTTTAAATAAATTTGTCAGTGGAATCAATATAAGCATTTTAAGTAATGTGTTTATATTTTTTATAGGCTGAAACTAATCTCATTAATGTTTAGCATATTATTCAATTGATTTTCCAGTAAAAAGTTATAATGTGTCCCAAGAGGACTACTTTGCAGGAGTGGATACAAGGAAGATTCTGCTGCAAACAAGTTCACTGAAACTGCAGGTGATTATTTTAATTTTTCAAGAAAATAGTTCGATTATATGGAGCAATTATTTATATATATAAAAAAAGAAATTTTTAACTTTTTTTTAAAAATAAGTATATTTATTTTCATTATTTAATTTATTTGACATAATTAATGATTTTTATGCATTAAATTTTAATGTATAAGAATGAGCTATAATAAACTTTTTCTTATAAATTATTATAATGATTTTAGTTCTTATGAATAGGTGTAATAAAAAATTAGTAATAGTTTTTTTAAGTTAAAAGATATATAAAATAAAAAAGTAATTTATTGATCCTGATTTGAATTTAATTATTTTATAAATATAACTAATTTTAAATTAAGGTAGATAGATTCTGACAGAATGATAAAGTATTTGATAAAGTAATTTCTTCTGACAGAATGCTTTTTTGGTAGGGAGTGCACTTTGGCCAAGGGAAAGGAAGATCGATCTGCACATTATTTGAACCATGAAAGTAGTAAAGGTTGTACGTCAATTGGGTAACTTGATTTCCTACAAAATCATTTTGGAGAATCTCAAAAACGAAGCCAAGAATCTGCAACAAAAAAGACAAAGGGTGCAACAAAATTTTACTTCTTGGGATTCTGAGGAATTCCAGACTAAAAGTAAGTGGTTAAATAGAACTGCTGAATTTTGTGGAGAAGTGAATGTATTTGTGAACTACTATGAAGGAAAAGGTTCTTGCACAAATTTCCTATGGTGGTATAAGGTTAATAAACAAGCAAGAAAGATGATGCAAGAAATTTTACAATTACAAGAAGGTAATCTTTATCTGTTAGTGAAACCACCAAAAGATTATAAGGCCCCAAAATCAAGAGCAGATACTATAAATGATATTATGGAGGCCATGAAGGACCCTCTTATCCAAACAGTTGGAGTATGGTGGTGGAGGCACAACCTTATTGGCCAAACAGGTTGGAGACCAAGCAGAAGAAGAACAAAACTTGTTCAAAGTGGTTATCATAGATGTAGCTGAGAAGCCAAGCACTGAACAAGTTCAAGAAGATATTGAAGCTCTATTGGGTCTCCAGTTTAATGGGGAAATGCATGTGGAAAGAAGAAATAGATTGCGTCTAAGAACAAAGAAAGAGAAAAGGATTCTTATCATCATTAATGATATGTGGGGAGAATTGAATCCTCGAGGATTTGATTTGGACGAAAATGGAGTTCCTTTGGGTGATGAACATAAAGGGTGTAAATTATTGCTGATATCAAAAAACTTGAATTTCATCCAAAATTTGATGGGTGCTCCTAAAGCTAAGATATTTCAACTAGAAGTGGTACTAGAAGAAGAGGCTCATAGCTTGTTTGTAAAGATGGTTGGAGACATTGCTCAAGATTCTGAGGCAAGTTCCATAATAACTGAAATAGTGCAAAGTTGTGAAGGTCTAGCTCCAGCAGTTTTTGCTATAGCCAAAGTATTAGAAAAGAAAGACCTACATGCTTTGCAAGATGTCTTGACGCAGCTAAAGGAACAGGTTGCACCAATAAGACTATGTTACAATAGTTTGGAGAGTGAAGAACACAAATACTTGCTCTTGATTCTTACCATCAGGGGAAGGAGAGCCGTGAACAAGTATAGTATATATATAGACATGTGGGAAGGTTTATTAAAAAAATTTGATACATTAGAGGCTGCAAGAAGTAGGTGTGATTCATTAATTAGTGATCTTAAGGCCTATGGTCTTCTGGTTGAAGATGAAAATGAAAATGTCAAAATAAATGACTTGATATGGCACACTGCTTATTCAATGGCTCAAAGTGATCTAAAAGCTTCAATGATTTCTACAGAATGGCCGACTGAAGAATGGTTGGGAAGTTTACGCTTTTGCAACATGACTATTGCGAATGGTGCATAGGTTCCTGAAAGGTTGCAATGTCCAGAAATGCAAGAGATTATACTAAGCACTGACAATCCCTTAATGCAGGTTCCAAATTCATTTTTTGATGAGACTAAACTTTTGAAATTATTAGAACTTATTGGCTTTGATTGTTCAAAACTACCTTCTAGTTTTGGTTTGATAAGGAACCTTCAGGCATTATCCATGTACAATTGCAAATTGGGAGACATAACTATGGTTGGTGAGCTCACAAACCTACAAATTCTTGTCCTCCTTGGAACTAGAATCCAACAATTACCTAGACAAATAGAACAGCTTCAGAAGTTGCTCATCTTGGATTTAAGAGACACATATATCCAAATGATTCTATCCAATGTTCTGTCAAACTTAACTAGTTTAGAAGAATTATATTTGAGAAACTCCTTTTGCAATTGGGAGGTTGAAAGATCCAATAGTGAAAACAGAAATGCAAGCTTGAAAGAGCTAACAAACTTGCATCACTTGGCATATATAGAAGACTTGTATGTTCCTGATCCTCAAGCATGGCCAATGGACTTATACTTTGAAAAAATTAAATCATACACAATTTTCATTGGGGATAGGTGGGTTGAAACCCATAATGGTGATCATGGGTTAAAAGTATTGAAACTCAAGCTCGATAGAAAGTTGCAATTGGAGGATGGGATTAAAAGGATGGTGAAAAATGTTGATGTCTTATACTTAGATGAACTGTATGGTGTCCAAAATATTCTGAGTGATTTAGGCAGTGATGGGTTTCTCCATCTACAATCTCTCCCTATACAAAACAATGTTGAAATCAAATGCATAGCCATGAGTTCTAGTGATGATCATCCCATTGATGCTTTCCCCAACTTAGAGTCATTGTCTCTGAAAAATGTAAGCAATTTAAAGCACATATGCCACGGTTCTCTTAGTGAAAAATCTTTCTTCAAAATAAGAGTCATTAGAGTACAACAATGCCATGAAATGACATGCCTCTTCTCAGACTCAATGGTCAAAAGTCTTCCCTATCTTGTTGATTTAGAAGTTTCAGAGTGCAAACTCATTGAGGCAATTGTGGTTGGAGGAGAAGAAATAATAGTGTTTCCTCATTTACGCTCTCTAAAGTTACAAGGACTCCCTGCATTATTAAATTTCTACATGTTTTCTTCTTACGTTAAACACGTACTTTTTGATGACAAGGTATGTACATATTTCAAGTCCAATTTTATTTCTATACGTCTTCTTACCAGGAACCCCCACTTTTTGATGACAAAGTAATGGAAGTATGTATATATTTCAAGTCCAATGATAATATTACAAATTACTAATTTTGCTTCTAGTATTTTTCCTTTCATTACAATTCCAAAGGTTAATTCTTATACTAAATAATTTCATTTGCTAATTATGTTCATCAATGTGGTAATATATTATTACGTGTATATATGCCGATTTCTTGCCCTAATTTGGAGAGAATGGTGATTTCCAAGGTTATCAAATTAAATTTCATATGGTCATTTCGATACAATGTTGCAAATTCATTTTGGAAGTTGAAGAACGTATGCATTGAAGATTGTGATAATTTGAAGACCGTTTTTCCTGCTTCGTTACAATTAAATCTTCAATATTTGAAGATTTTAGTCGTAAAAAATTGCAGGTCAATGGGGTACATTTTCTTTTTGGATGATAAGGACGGTCGATTTAGAAAATTAAGCCGTATCCAGTTGATTTGTTTAACTCTACTTCAGCTACCAGAATTGCTATGGGTATGCTGTCTGTCAGAAGATGCCGGAGGTAAATTATTATACTAGAATGATATTTTTCAAAACATGAGAAGCAATTTGGTATATTTTTAAACTTTTACTTTTAGTTACAAAAATGTTATCTTACTTTTTGTTTATAAAAATATATCGATCTAGGAAGCTGTAAGAACAATAAAAAAATGTTTTTAAGTTTGTCACTACAAATCTTTAAAAATAAGAGATGAAATAAGAATAAATTGAGATAATTTTATAATAAAACTATAAAGCACTTTCTTAAACCAAAAGTCTATAAAAGTATTATAATATGAATAAAGCATCAAATGCAATGTATTGTATATTTCTTTGAGTGCATGTGTGTGTGAGAAATCAAATAATTTTTGCATTTTATTTTCTTCCTTTTTTATGTTCTTTGAAAAATACTATTTTTACTTATCTTGTTTTATTTATTTATTTACTTATTCTTTTATGCTGAATAATTGGGAGAAATTTGATGAATTTTAGATGCTCTACGTGTAATTGGATTCCCTGAAATGGCCAAAATGCATCTTGAAGACTTGCCATCATTGATGAGGTTCTTCAGTAAAGGTTATGTTGAATTGCCATCTTTGGAGAATGTAGTTTTGAACCACTGTCCTCAATTGGATGATTTTGGTTTGGGAACGATAGAAAGCTCACAGTTGAAGTCAATGATCATTGACAATCAAGACCAAATTCAAAATGATGCCCTAATTAGTCAAGTTTTTAACTTATTGGTTAGATCTCTCTCTCAAATTATACACTGCATATTTATAATTTATTATACTTATTTATATATTTTTCTATTTTTAATTTTCATCCAAACTTTAAAAATGTAGAAATAACATGACATCTCTTCTAAATATTCATAAAATATTGTTGAAACCTAATTTATACAGTAGATGATCTAATACTAATATTGAAAATAGAATAGTCTTACTTTATTAATCAATGTTACATTTCACGATAGAACGAGATTGTTTCAAATAATTAACATGTGAATTGAATGAAATCATAATTTAAAAGAGAGTCTTTAATTTAATTTTTAAATAAAGAGATATTTATAGGGATATAAGATAAAATTGTTGAAATTGAACACATCAAACCAATTAAAAAATATATTATTATTATTTTTAATGAAAATGATGGGTAACCTCGCCCCAAAAAAAAAGAAAAACACTAACAACCAAGAAGTCTTCAAAAGTAATTATCTACCAAATCTGCAAAAATAAGAAGATTATGACTAATAGAAAGATTGTAATACAAATAACAACCAAAACTAAGTTAATAACAAAAGAAAAAAGAAGTCATAAACCAATTTACCACTTTATTTCCCTCTCCCTATACAGCTGATGAAAAATAGTGACTTGTCAATGGTACTTATAATAGGAACACATTAAGGATGAGTAATGAAAATAGAATAGCCATACTTTATTAATTAATGAAAATAGTATCAATTTTAAATCCCTAAAAATTATATTATTGATATTCTAAATTAAACCAACGATATTAAATGATAGAAACAATTATTTTGAAATGTTATGTTTGAATTATTTTCGAAGTGATTTACTAAAGCAAGAAAATTGACAGGATGGTCCACATGACTTAGTTATTGATGGGGATGAGGAATTAATTAAAGCAGATGAATTATGTTCAGATAAACCTTTGTTTCTGTCTTGCGTTACAATGTTTAAAGCAAAAAATTGCAGCGATGGAAACAGTTTGTGTAAATTTTTAATCTGGTTGGTATGGGAGTCAGAACTGCTTGAACATATCACCATTGAGCACTGCAAAACAAATCGATCTCTATTTGGCATTGATTCTTTTAAAGATTTTTCCTTGAAGGAATTGGTATTAATGGAATTACCTGATGTGGTGGATATATGGGAAATACGTAACCTTTACAATAGGATCCCCCAACTGAATAATTTGAGAAAAATACACATCAAGAGTTGCCCCTCTATGATGGTAGTCATTCATCCTGAAGTTAGAAAGCTCCCCCAACTGAATGAATTGAAGATTCAAGAATGTAAGAATTTAACAAAAGTTCTTCCATTATTTTATTTGGATCCCATTAAATTCCTAGCATTGAGCAAGGTGGAGCTTATGTACCTCCCAAAATTAGTCATGTTCCATGAGAACCATGGTCTAATAAAAATAGAACTCCCAGTTTTAAAAACATTGGTGATAGAAAAATGTCCTGAGTTGGAAATATTCACCCATGGGCTTGCAACTGCATATGATTTGCCAACAGATGACCGTAATTCTTTCTTTAAGTTAAATGAACTCAAGTTGGATACTTGCCACATGTTGGTTTATGTCATTTCCTCTAAAGACGTTACAAGAGTTTCCAGAATTGACAAAACTCACTGTAAGTCATTGTAACAAACTCAAAATGATTTTCAACATCAAAGAGGAAATATCATATTCTACAGAGATCTTGCAGCAGCTAACTGAATTGACTTTAATTGACCTACCCAATTTGACTCACATCATCAACAAAGAAATGGGTGAGAATAAGACCTCCTTTCTTCAGTTGAAGTATGTTTCTCTTGAAAATCTAACAAAGCTCACAACTGTATTTCCTTCTCAATCTCATTTTCCATCCTTGGAAACATTGATAATCACAAATTGTCCTGCTCTCATCACTTTTCTTGATAACTCCAATGAGCAGAAGGATCACCCACAACCTCCTACTTCAGACTATTTCTTCCCAAATTCTGTAAGTTTATCAAAATTTAAGTTATAATATTCATATTCATTATATATATATATATATATATATATATATACACACACACACACACATGCATATTAATACAATAATTCTTAGGCACTTGTGATATAATCTTATAGTCAATCTCACGTTTGTATCAAAGTCAAAGTCATCATGTTTATGATGGAAAGGAATTGAATGATATGATTATACTATGTAGTTTTGTTTCATCTCCACTCCTAGACATTGATAATTACCATTTGTTCCTTGCAGCTGTCATTGGACAAGTTGAAAGTACTTTGTATAAACCAGGATATTGAGAAACTCTGGCACTACAATTGTCCCCCACAATCATTTTGTGAACTGAAAAATTTGACTTTGAGGAACAGCAAATTGTTGTATGTCATCACATCCAACATGGTCAAAAGATATGACAATCTAAAATCTTTGACTCTGGACAAATGTGAGTTAATGACAGAGGTATTTAACATTGAAGATGACAAGCAAAATCAGAATATCCAAGAGATGTTTCCTCAACTGAGTACATTAGCATTGAGCAACCTAAAGAGATTGACATGTCTCTGGAACAAAGAAACTCAAGTTCCATTTTTTCAAATTTGATATCACTTCACATAATTCACTGTGGTAGCCTCAAAAGTTTATTTTCACCTTCTTCTGCCAAAAATCTTGGGAAACTCAAATTACTCAAATTGTGTGATTGTGAAAAAATAGAAGAGGTCATATCAATTGATAAAAATGAAAGTGTATCTATCATTTTACCTGAAGTAGAATGCCTTGTACTAAAAAATCTTCCAATGTTAGTCAGTTTTTGTCAGCAAAGTGTGACTTTCGAGTGGCCTAAATTACAAACAGTGAGGGTGAGCAATATTCCAAGTATGAAGACTTTTTCACGAGGTCATGTCAACACACCATTGTTAAGATCAGTTGATATAACATTTGTTAAGAAATACTGGCTAGAGAATTTGAACAAGACCATATCATATATCCATCAAAATTCAGGTATGTAAATTTTAATATTATATTCAAAACTTATGATAATATATAAGTTAGCGATAGATGTTTATACATAATACATAGCATCTGCTTTCCGAAACATGTCTCTTGTATGTTCTTAATTTAAATTATTAGATGACAATATATTTCTTGTGACATTATATCAACATGTTCCTAACTTTTTGAAAAGATGCTAAACTTTAGGACTGGAGAATCTAACCTTGAGCGACAACAATTTGTTGAGAGGCATATCTTCCAATATGATCACAAGATATAGTAATCTAATAAATTTGATTGTGGACAAATGTGAGTTACTAAATGAGGTATTTTACTTTGACGATGACAAACAAGATGAGAATATCATAGAAATGCTTCCTCAACTAGGGGTATTAACATTGAGCAACCTAAAGAGTTTGACATATGTCTGGAACAAGGAACCTCAAGTTTCCTTTTTTCCAAATTTGGTGTCACTCAACATTGTCCAATGTGGTAGCCTCAAGAGTTTATTTTCATGTTCTGTTACCAAAAACCTTGGTAAGCTAAAATTACTCAAATTGTGTAATTGTGAGAAAATAGAAAATATATTATTAGATGATAAAGAAGAAAATGTATTCATCATTTTCCCTGAAGTAGAGTGCCTTGTACTCAAAGACCTTCCAAAGTTAATTAGTTTCTGCCAGCAGAGTAGAACTGTTGATTGGCCTAAATTACAAAAAGTGAGTGTGAGCAACATTCCAAGTATGAAGACTTTTTCAGGAGGTCAAGTCAATACACCATTGCTAAGATCAGTTTATACAACATTTGTTAAGAAATATTGGCTTGAGAATTTGAACAAGACGATATCATATATCCATCACAATTCAGGTATGTAAATTTTAATTATATACTTTGAAATTAAAATATTATAGATTTAAACATATGGTTAATCTTGTATATTTATGAAATTTTGATTCTAGTCAATCAGTTCTTTTTTGCCCCCCCCCCCTCCCCTTTTTATTAAATCCTTTTGATTCTTTGTAATATTTTGACAGATTGTTATGTATTAATCTTGATGTACTATGTTAATGAAAAGGAACAAAAAATTACGGGTTAAAACTAAAAAAAAAAGAATTAAAATCAAAATCTTGCAAAAATATAAGAATTAAAAACATGTTTAAGTCACAATTATAACGTATGCTTCTCGAAAGATGTTGTTAGTAAAACATGTTCTTAATATACTATACTATAGATGACAAGAGTTTTATTTCGATATTATTAATATGATTTCAAATATTCTAAAAAATGTCAATCTTTAGGATTTTGTACTTTTTTTTAGTGGACTTTTTTAGGATCACATTCAAACCTTGTATAAAAGCAATTGCATAATTATGATAAGACTTTTATTTTCTTGGATTTTTTTGAGGGACACCACATTCAAATAAAATTGATGGAATCCTAAAGTGTTGAGTGAAGTGTTATTGTTTTGTTTAAGCATAGTAAAATTCACAATAAACCTTTGAATATATTGTTTGATTGAATCTTAAATTCATTAGACGATTGATTTATGAATTTTTTTCTTTCTTTTAAAGAATGACTTTTGTGGAAATCTTATATCAAATCTTACTTATATATTGCAAAGTTTTATCTGCATGAGTTAATTCAGAATTAATGGAAATGCATAAAGCCAAGGAGAATGGAATTGAAGCAACTTATTTGGCACTAAAAGACAAAAAGGATGAATACTGAACAACCTTTAATAAGCTTTGATTAAGGTTGTTTATCCTATGTAGGTAATATCAAGTCTCTAACTTTCTAACATACGGTGTAAGGATTATTTGCTTTTTAAAAAACAATTGCATGTTTACTATTTCATACAAAATGATAAGGACATAAAATATTCAAATTATAGTATTTAAATTAAGTGAATGGAATGAAAAAATGTGTATAGGAATAGAAAAATGTTTCTTGAACTAAAAAAAATGTTAATGCATAGCGAAAAAGAGTGTTATGATCATTTTATACCAAGTGTTAAATATAAAGGCTTACACTTAATGCAATATTCAACAATCCAACTGTTGAATGATCTTATATAATTCTTATGATTATATATATCAAATTTTACATAATTTAAACATTTATAATTATGCTATCCAAAAGTTAATATTTACTTATATTTTATGAACAAATTAAATATTAAAATAAAATAACATGATAAAGTACTTTTTTTATATAAAATTTTACAAAATTATCTTTTTGATAAGAATTTTTAAATTACTAATTGAATTGATCAATCTTACATTCTATAAAAAATTATTAAGTAGTGTAAGTGCTTAAGTTATAATATTATGATACTTATGATAAGTACTATATAATTTTTGTTCAAAAGATCATCCTTGCTCTTAATATATGTTATGTAGCTATAAATGTAAGGAAAAAAAAATGTAATTGATTTGATAAATTTAGTTTATCTCTTATTAAGACTTTTTTTTTCAATGTTAGGAATGGAACACAGGGAGGGATGAAAGATAAGAAAACAACAGAATGGAAAAGACCTCCAAAGATTGCTGCAAAGTCATATTAACTAGTCATAAACATATGTACTGCAAAAGTTTCGTAAATATTTTAAAATACAGTATAATGAAGTATGAGTTTCTAATTCATACTTACGTAACTATTAAAAGTATTTTTAATAGTTATTTTAAACAAAAGTATCATTAAATATTAGGGTTTTTTTTTTTCTTTCTAAACTATGCCATGTAACTTTTCATGTATTGAGTTTTTCATCAATTTGTGTTGGTCTGCACCTATACAAAATGCTATTAAAATGTGTAAAGCTAAATGCTATTTAAGAAATGCAATTTTTATCTTTGATTCATGCACTTCAATTTAAAAAGTAATAATTTGTGATTTTCGTAATCTGACTTACACTCTAATGAAACAGAATTAGCACGTAGGATATTATTGTTGGTCTCTGCATACTTATAAATACAACAGAGAATTTAGCAGAGCAGACTAACTTGTGAGACTTACTTGTTGAACCAGAACTCGAAGGCGTGCAAGCAAAGCCATAATTGTCAGAGAAAATCCCATATAATATTTATCTGCAATGTCACCTCTGCTAGTAAGCGTTAAGCTCCAAGAAGATGCTCCATAAAATTATGCTTTTTATTATCACATTTTCTCCTTTTTAAGCTGTGACGAAACAGTAAGTAGAACAAAATAATCATCAAGACAAGAGTTATAATATTATCATATACCAAAAGGAAAATTTTCATCACAAAAGTATTTCATAAGCAAGAAATAATTAAAACAATGAAATATATGACCGTGAGATGTTCAACTGTGGGAGGGAAGCCATCTGATGAGTCATTGACTCATATAAAAAATTAAAAGATTTTTAATTTATTTCATTGAATTAAATATATAAATTAATGTAATTAATTGAAATATTTAATAGAATTTGTGATTGTTATAAATTTGATAAATTATTCAAATATTAATGGTTAATATTTGACTTCGAAGGAATTAGAAGAAAAATGATAATTAAAATTGTAGAGAAGAATTGAATTGCTGCATGACATATTTGTGGGGATATGAAACTCTGATTGGAGGGATATGATATTCATAAAGCATATAAAAGTAGAATTTTTTGAAAAAGATATCATCTTTTATTATA